TGGGTCCGATCCTCGCCGCCAACACCATCACCATCTCTCTACTCTTCTCTCGAGACTTCACCCAGGTCGCTCTTCTGACCGGCTACTTTCTCCTCGGGGCTGGCGCCGGTGCCATCTTCTTTGTCCCTTCCGGTCGCATTTGGGGCAAACGGCATCTCTTCCTCCTCGGCATATGCATTATCATTGCATCCAGCGCATGGGCTGGCTCGGTCGGTACCGACTATGGTAGCTTTATCGGAGCGAGGGTCGTCCAGGGTGTGGGATGTGCTCCCTTTGAGAGTTTACTCAATGCTGCTGTTGGCGACCTCTACTTTGTTCACCAGCGAGGTGTTCGAATGGCATTCACCAACCTGGCCGTCTTCGGTGGTGCCTTCTTCACTCCCATCTTAGTAGGAAAGATTACCGAATCCCTAGGTTGGAACTGGACGTTCTTCTTCGTGTCCATCTTCCTGGCCCCTACTTTGTTGGCAGTCTTCTTCTTCTGTCCTGAGACAACATACCGGCGCGCCGCAATCCTCAACACCGATACCACCGTTGCAGAGGAATCGAAGCTAGAATCGTCGCCAAGGCACCCAGACTCGTCGAGTCCAGAGCGAAGCGGCGAACCGTCCCGCGGTTTTGTTCTTTTCCCGACATCCAGTGCCCTTCAGCCCATTGGCAACGCCAACACCCCCAAGAAGAGTTTTGTCGAGTCGCTCTCGCTATTTGACGGACGCAAGACAGACGAACGCTACTGGGTTCTCCTACTCAGACCGTTTCCCCTGCTTACCCATCCCGCATTTATCTGGGGTTGTCTGATCCAGGGTACCATGATTGGATGGACCGTCTTTATTGGTGTTATCGTGGCAGCGATATTCATTGGCCCTCCTTATTACTGGGGTGAGGTCATGGCTGGATACACATACACAGGCGCCTTCGTTGGAGCACTATGTGGCTTCGCTATTGCAGGCCTGCTTGCCGACTCGAGCGTCAAATACCTGACTAGGCTCAACAAGGGCATTTATGAGCCCGAGTTTCGCATCCTCATGGTGTTCCCTATGATGATTATTGGCGGCATCGGCTTGTATGGTTTTGGGTTGACTGCCGGCGAAGTCATCTCTGGGAAGTTCACATATCATGTCCCCCTCGTGTTTTTCGGTTTCGAGGTAGCGGGGATGGTGATTGGCGCTGTAGCCAGCTCGCTCTACATCGTCGACGCCTACCGTACGTTACTCATTCTGTCAGATGTGCATTTGGGCATATAGCTAACTCTGGTGTTTAGGTGACTTGACCATCGAAGGGTTCACCATCATGATCATCTTCAAGAACTTCTTCAGCTTCGTCCTAACGTTCTACGCGTACGACTGGATCATCAAAGGAGGTATCAGGCCCACGCTATTAGCCATCGCGTCGATCCAAGTCGCGGTCTGCTTGTTGAGTGTTCCCATGTGTAAGTCCTAAGTCCCGTACGACCTTCTCTTGAACGTGAACTGATGTAATACAGACATATATGGCAAGCGAGTGCGGGCATTTTACCATCGCCACGATCTTCTTGCTCTCACGCATCTTCGATGATGTCTCATCGCATGGCCTTGGTCTTGAATATCCCGTATCTCATGTAGTGTTTCTATTGTAGTGGCTGGCAAAGGCAGCATATAAGACATTGGCGAATGGGGTCTTATTACTAATATTACTGGGCTTTTATTTGCATGGCATATTTGGAAGGGGTCTCTCGTCCAGATTCAAAATTAATGGGATTTGTTGAAGGAGAAGAGTTATCATCCCTGAATTAATTCATGATTCATATTCCGAGTTACTTGTGCTCCATATCGTGCCAACCAAGACATTCAACTATGCTTTCATGTTGTCTCGCCCCATCTCCATCATCGGCTCTCTATTTCATGCCTTTACACCACCGGCCGCGGATTCAGCTGGTGCCAGACTCGACTTCTTGACCAAGCGCAGGCCACCAAACAGGAGGGCGGCGGCCTGGAGTCCCAATATCACAGCCAGGGTGACGAGAGCACCGATGACGCCGGCAACAGGCTTGGAGATTCCGTTGCCAGAGTCGTCGGAGGATTGCGAGGAGGCATCGTCGCTGTTGCTGCTGCTAGTGCTGTTGGAGCAGGTGCTGTCGGTGTTGCCGCAAAGCTTGCACCAGTGATCCGTATCCTCAATGGCGAAATCAGTCATGCCAGTCTTGAAGTCGTCCCACGAGAGAGTTGTCTTGTCCTGGCCGAAGAGGGGGAACAGAGTTGGCTCGTTCTCAGCGGCGGTGCCGTTGGAGAAGTAGAAGCGAACGCTCACGTCGTCGGTGGTCGGGTTGGTAGCGTTGGTGACGAGCTCAAAGACCATAGATGAGGCATAATCGCAGATGCCCATGAAGTCCGTATGGGCCTTGTACAGCTTAGCGAGGCCAAAGAAGGCCATGAAGGTGCCGTAGGCGCCGAACTGGATGTTGAGCTTGGGGTTGCCCGCCTCGCGTTCAGCAAGGGGCGTTAGGGCCTCGAGGATCTGGCCCGCAAGGACGGAGCCAGCGATGGAACGGACAGGGGCGCTGCTGTTATAGGCGAGGTTCCATTCATGGATGGAGGCAAGGTCGTAGAGCTGATCTACGGTGGACTCGGTGAGAAGATTATCGGATGAGATGGAGGTGTTGTGGATTTGAGCCACATTGATGAGATCGAAAACTAGAGGGTCAATGTCAGTGCGAAGATATGAGATTGAAGCGAAGGGGGTTGGTCGTACTAGAATAGCCGTTCTTGAAGTTGGCCTCGTCCTTGGTGTAGGTGCCGTTAATGACAGGCAGCAGCTTGGTGTAAAAGGCCGTGGAGCTGTCATAGGTATTGCTATACTCGGAGGAGGACAAGTAGTCGTTGGAGCTGACTTCGGCGTTGGTACATCCGCTGTTTCCCTGGAGCCAGGCGCTGTTCTCGGAATCTTCGGCGCTTGCGGCGTTATCGATGGAGTTCACGGGGATATACTGGTATCCCGCAAAGGGCGCCTCGACACGGGAGCCATTGGCGAGCAATTCAACGTGGCCAGTGGGAGGGTACAGGCCTTGGAGGAAAACAAGGGCAGAGTTCTGCAGGACGTTGTCGACGGGAGCGGTGACAGCAATTTGCGAGAGGATAGCCGTGTCTGAGCTGACGCCTTGGACCTTGCTATCGGCATCGCTGTCGATGTAGCGCTTGCGGTAGAAGGACCCGGAGGAGTAGACCTGGTCGGCGCCGAGGGCCGTCAAGTTGACGGGCTTCCAGGCCTTGGCGGTGCGGTCGCCATGGCGGTGGAAGACGTAGAGGCCTAGGACATCCTCGGCAGTGGTGAGGGAGAGGGAGGTGAGGGCGAGCAGGAGGGAGAGCTTGGACTGCATTGTGGCGGTTATTGGTGTTGATACTGCTATAGGCAGAACACCTCTGAAGCTTCAGCTCACAATGTGAAATATCCACCAGAGCAAAACAGACCAGGACAGAGCTGCACGTAATAGCAGAGAGAAGCGGGGGGGCAACACGCGAGTTATATAGAAGCACCAGTTCAACACGACGGCCCTTGTCCCTTGAGATGATCCATTTCCCGCCGGGGCATGGTGCAGAATGCAGTTGATTGATGGCTTGCCTCGAGATGGATGCTCAGCTCGGATAACTAGACGGATCAGGCCAGTCAGGAAGCACCACCACGACTTACGATTGCAGATTACACCCTTGACCACTCTGCACTAGAAAGAAAGTTCCTTCGGATATGGAGATGGAGTCCACCCTCACAATCACACTCAACTCTGACCCCGCTCGCCCGTGGGATAACGCCCCGCAGCACGCAGCAGGGGGAGCTGCAGCGTGATTCAACAAGTCATATACTCGCCACTGGCCGGCGACGGGCGCGAGGATCTAGCGCCATGGAAGATGCCGCCAATCTCCGTGACAGAGGATTGTGAGTTGTATTTTCTCAGGTCCTCCCACTGCGAGAAGCTGCCTTCTACGTCCCTATGACGGGACGCGTCAAGTATATCTCGGAGCTTGAGTGGGGAGGTAAATTTGTGTAGCTTGCCAACAGCGGCCGCTAATGCGAACCCGCCCAGCCTGGGGAACAACAGCTGCAACCGTCCCAAAAGGCCACCGACGGGCCGATTGATCCAGCGCCATGCCGACGGTTCTGCCCTGACAGTCCACTCGAAGCTGGCCGGGAAACCTGCCCCATTCTGCCCTACGGCCGTCGGCCACCATGGACAGGCCCTCCTCGGCCGGCGGTTTGCTCCCATTCCCGCTCCGTTGGATGCCCAGCCGGAGGATTTGGGCGGGCGGTCCAATGGGACGACGGCCGGGAGCCGCACCCACCCACCCACTCACACCGACGGGCTGCGATGCGACACTGGGGTAGCCTGAGTGGTCGACTTTTATTCCCAATTCTATCTGCGTTTAGGTTGCCGTGGTGCGAGCAGTCGGCATCTTTGAGCCGGTTATGGTTGTTAGTTGTGGCTAGTGCTTGGACAAAAGAGTGACGCCCTGTGTACCACACGCCGGGTCTGTCAATCAATAGCTTGAACACGTTGACGTGAGGTCGAAACCCCGTAGAGCTAGGCTCACGACACAAACCAAATTACCTAAAATGCCTGCAAGTGACGGGCTGGGATCTACAAGAAAATCCCTATCAACGATCGCATTGTCACCTTTCCCAGTACGGAGATGTATTGGGCTCCACGATCAAGCGACTCCGCGGACTCGGAACACGGCACGCAAGTGTGTCTATCGATTCTGTGTCTACTCTCCATGTGCGATTCACACATCTCCGGCAGCTCCAGAACCCCAGAGCCCGGGTGAGTCTGACCAACTCACCCGCGATATCAGATGATGCCCGTGCTTGAAAGCCCCGACCCATGTTTATCTATTTGTCCCGGGATTCTTTAGTCGCAGCTCCACCTAACCCCAACCTCGGCGTCCTGACCCATCACGACCCACTAAGAAAAAGGCCTTCACACGCAACATCCACAGCATCCACCACAAGCAAAAAAAAGCGCAAAAAAAGATTGGTTTCACCCGGGCTCGAACCGGAGACCTTCTCGGTGTGAGCGAGATGCCATAACCAACTAGACCATGAAACCGAATCCTGTTATTGGTTGGGATTTGGCCTTCCAATTTCACAACTTAGGCTTGCCGTTGCCGCCCTCCTTGCGGGGATCCCTGAGATGCTGCGAGATCTGACCCTTGAGCAGGAAATCGGGATACTCCATCTCCTTGTCAATGCCCACGCTGATAGCTCCCTGCCGTCGCCATGCTGCTCCGTCTACCGGTAGCGCCTGCCCGTTGACGTAGCTGCCGGCGTCGCTGAACAGGAACACTGTCGCGTCCGCCACGTCCCTCACCGTGCCCACTCGCCCAGACGGGATGCCTTTGGCATACCCGGCCTGCTCGGCAGCGGCGCCGCTGCCCAGCCGTGCGAGGCCCTCCGTGTCCGCGATGCCGCCGGGGGCGATGACGTTGCTCGTGACGCCGCGCGGGCCGTACTCGAGGGCCACGCTGCCCATGAGCGAGTCCACGGCCGACTTGGCCGCCGACACGTGCGCCTGCAGCGGCATCCCGGTGTAGTGGAACGTAGCCGACACGTAAATGATGCGCGGGTTGGAGCTGCGCAGAAGGTGCGGCATGGTCGCCTTGATCGTGTTGAACGTGCCCAGCACGTCAATGTCCATGACCGTCTTGAAGGCGTTGGAGCTCAGGCCTTCGATGGGGGCGATAAAGTTGCCTGCAGCTCCCGCACTGTCATCGAAGCGGCATCGTTAGCAAGGTTTCATCACAGGCTGTCGCTTTCAAGGGTGTTCCCTACATGACAAAGTCGATGGCTCCCAGTTCCTGCGCACATCGGTCCGCTGCAGCTTGCAGGCTCTCAACCTAAGCGGGGGCCGACACATCAGTACAGACTCAAATCTTCCATCGCGAGGGTCTTCATACCTTGCGGACGTCACAGCCTCCTATTCCCAGGACCTTTGCGCCGGCCCTCACCGTGGCAATGTCCTTGGCCACTGCCTCGGTCTTCTCCACGCTCCTCCCGATGATGCAAGCATTCGCACCCAATCGGACCAGCGCTCTCGTCTGCATGCTGCAGATGGCGCCTGCGCCGCCCGTCACAAAGACGACACGACCGTCTTCATTTCACACGAGGTCAGCGGACTAGGTTCTATCATCGATGCTGCGAGGGGCCCGCGGAGACTGACCGAAAATTCCATCCCGCCACACGGGGCTCAGATACTTGGACTCCGGGACAGACATGATCGTAACTGAAGCGAAGTGTTGTTATGTTACAGGGTTAAATCTATGCGATAAGAGTCTACTGAAGATCAGATGTTGTAGGAATCAAAACATCGTCGCAAATCTTGGATGCCGTGGTTGTCTTACGTTAACGTTACTGCCGAGCTTCCAGCCTCCCACATGAGCTGAGGTAAGAAGCCTCGGCAAAAGCGGGGCCCCAGATATCTGGGGTCGGCTCCACTCACGTCCGGCCCCCGTTGCCGCAATTGTCCACTTTCTCGGCCGAATCTGTCATGCCCACACCGCACACCGCCGAGCCTCGGTGCGGAGTGTTGCGGCAAGCGCTGCCTTCCGCCAAGCCAGGGCCGGGTCTCCGGAACCGCGGGTAATGGCAGTCTGATCCAGCATGAAACCCGGCGGGCCAATTCCAGAGGAGCCCGGGCTTCCGTGAACAATTGTCTGTTGGCCTCATCGCCTGATGACATCCCTAGTCTTGGAAGAGCCACAGACACACGCCAGCCTTGAGCTGTCCTCACATTGCTCAGACGCCGCCCAATCAACCTCTGTGCCATTGTTGCGGCAGATGGTCGTTCACTTCCCTCGTGACGCGAACCAATCACCAGCCGCCACTCGTAACCTCACCTCCGGGACTAACACAACACAGAAGCTCAAACGCCCTGTGAAGTAAGCCCTAAAGCCCAGCTTTCTTCTTTCCCGTGTTCCAGAAACACACATGTCCATCCGGGTCTAGACTTGATACCGGGACATCATCCTAATGGCTGACCCAGCTGTCAAGCCTATTTCCGTCTTGGGCTGCAGAGTCATTGTCTCAGCCCCCGGATGTTGGGCGTTGAAGGGCGTCCACGTGCTAACCCGACGTACGTCCGCTCAGCCGCGTCCAAGCCTGTCCACGGTGACGGGGCGTCGATCGGCATATTACTGACGTCCGCGTCATGCTTGGACCTATGTAAATCCCCCAATATCTCTCGGTATAATTATTCGCGAGACCCCTACGCCCCACCGGCGATTGCCAAGACCGAGCAGTGCCCAACCTCAAGAACTCAGAATAAGAGTGTCACCGTGACGGTTTGACAGCTGAAACCCCATGGGGGCCAGCGTGGGAGGCTGTGGTGGAATATGCCGACAGGGGTCCTGGGCGAGATCTGCTTCGTACATGGGGCTTCGTTAACGGACCACAATGTGGTTTTGAGTTTCGGAGGCTCCTTCTCCAGCCGGTTTGGCGCTTCACCGAGCGGCGCTCAACTTGCCGCCTCTCGAAATTGGGCCGACGCCTTGGGCGGACAGAGGAACAACAGAAATCTCCACTGCGTTCGGCATCGGAAAGCCCTCTGCTGCTCCGGTCATCTCCGACGCTGCGCGGCTGTGCCATCCGGGCTATTGTCTCTTGTCTCAAACCATCGGTAGTCGAACATCGTCGGCCAAGGTGGTGGAGACCTGCGGGGGAGGCTCGCGAGCTGTCATACTTCGGGGAGGGTATATTGGAGGTGCTGATATGGACCCCATCCCATCTAATCTCAACCTATCGCCACCGGCCACGGACCGTCTACGGGCCTGGCCCCGCGCTGCTTCTGCGCACACGCAACTCTGACAGCTGCTTGACGTCGTCGCAGAGCGATTGAGGAATCACAGCGGGCACAGTCCCGACCGAATACATCGTACGAGAACTGGACCCACTAACGTAGCGCTACGTACTTACGAGGACATGGAGAGTCAAGACTCAAGACGTCAGTCAACGCACCAAGTGACATTGGCTCGGCTTATCACGCGTCGGGTCTGGGAAGTTGTTTCAGATCAATTGATGCAATGATCCCTAACTTTTCCTCCTCCGGGAAGTCCGTCGATCGACGCGCAAGAATACTCCCTAACGCCCGCCGTTGGGTATGAATGTATCAACATAAACCTTTTGAAATGCCGCAATGCCGCAATGCCGGAATGTCGCCCAAAACCAGTAGAATACCCTATTTTACACCCATCATCTTCCCAAAGTAAAGAAAAAAAAGCATCGCCCTGCCCACATGGTGGGTAGTGTCCGAGCGGGACGAAAACGGTGAGGACCGCAAGCCCCCTCCCATGGGCTTTCTGAAGAGAGGTCAAAGCTGCAGCTTGAACTCTCCGCGTGGCGCCCTGGACCTTCGATCCACACCCCGTGTAACCTATTCTCCAGAACCCCTCTCCCACAATCACACGGCCCACGATGTGCTCGGCCAGGGGCCACCGTATTCACCAACATTTTCTCGCTTGGGGATGTCGCCGGGATTCCAGCGGACCGACCGGAAGGATGAAGGCATTCCCTAAGCCAACCCAAAATCGGTGTAGCCAACAGGCCCTCATGGCATCTGCTCGGAAGACAACCAAGGAATACCGCAATGCCAGATGAGATAACCCAGCCCAGCTGACACTCTGTGGTTCAGGATTGCCATGGTTGCACCCCAAAGGAAGGAGAACAGGTTGAGAAAGTGCAAGTTCTTGTCGAGCCCAGCAGGAGAGCGGCCGCCATACAGCCTAAAATTCCCGAGCCTAGCTCAGCCACAGCACAACGGGCAGCTCTCAGGAATCACGATGTAGCGCTCATGGGGGCCTTTCGGGCAGGATTGCTTTCGGTTTCCATCGGTGGAGGTCTTGCAGAAGTGAGTCCCAGGATCCACACAGGATGTGTAAATGTAGTAGTTTTTGGTGAAATCGCACATGGTTTCTGTTGTTGAAATCCACTGACGTAGGTATGGAACTGGTATTAACTTGTTAGACTGGAAATGGTGTTGTGGCTGGCCACTTTCCGGAACGGGCAAGCTCACCAAATGCTTGGTTGTAGGGCGGAGTGGGGCAAAGTGCGGCCTCGAGGATGTCTACACTCGGGGACGAGCAGACTCAGGACGAAAAAGGGCCGTGGATACGGGGGGATTGGGGATTTATGGGAGAATGTAAAAAAAGTGCTATTGAGACAGCATGCCTCGTTTTTTGGAAGAGTTGAATAAATAAGACGGGCTTCGACGAGGATTCGGCATAAGGGAGAGTGTCCTTGTGGCACGACGAGGGTGGCGGCGTGTATAAGAGGCAAGTCTTTGCCGTGGGGGGAAGTTGAGGAATGAGGAGGGGTTTATACCAGAGACGAGAAGAAGCAGACTGGAGGCAGGCTATATCAGGGAATACGGACACTTAAAAGCATGATGCGAAGGAAGGGGGAGGGTGGGGTGCAACACAACGCGTGAGGCGTGAGGATGGCGGCGTGAGGTGTGAGGTGTGAGAGGTGGTGGTGAAGGATGCGGACCTCGGGGCCCTCAGGGCAACGGTGCCCGAGATGAGACGCTGTGCTGCCGCTGCCGCTGCCGTAAATTGAGCATCGTCGCCCTGGCCCATGTCTAAGGAGCAGTGACGCTGCTGCCATATGAGAGGGGGATGGGCGGCAGAGAAAACGTGTCTGGGCGACCCAGGGTCTGGTCTGGTCTTGTCGAGTTTGCTCAGTCCTGCCAGGTCCGGGCTTGGGACAGCGGTACCCACGGGCGACAGAGAGTGGGTTCGTCACGTCGAGCCAGTGGGGGGAGGCAAAATTAGGCCTCCTAGGCTCCCAGGCTCCTAGGCTCGTGGGCTTCTCCAACTCTCGAACGACTGGGGCCAAGCGCAAGCGCTGTGATGGTACCAGGAGCCGACGTACCCTCAGACGTCGCGAGGGGCCCGGGCTCTGGCTGGAGCTCCGGGATTGCTGGCGACCCTGGTGGCCCTGATGCCCTGGTGGCTCTGGCTCTGGTTTCTGGCGCTATTCTTGTTGGACGCTGGTCTTGTTTGGGTTCTAAATGCGAGTCTACCATCGATGTCGAGGCCCGTCAGCGCTGGAGGGCAC